CTCTTCGACTGCCGGTCCATGATTTTGCCAATATTCACCAAACACACAATGTGAATCAGCTGGATTGAGTTGAGAAACACGAAATCCTTGAAGAGCGATAGCTACAGTCATTTCATGCATATCTTGATCAGCGATAAGGACAGGTATAGGTCCAGAATAGTTACTCCTAGTAAATTCATGAACAAAATCATCATATGTATCTGGAGGCTGACGACCATCTTTGTCTTTTATGAAGTTAGGTAGAGCAAAGACAATAGCGCGAATCTTTTGAAACGTGGCTCCATCCTTTTGAAGCACATGACGAATGACAAAGGCAGAGAGTTTTCGAATTCGACCATCCATTCCAAGATGCTTACCGGCAAATATACCAAGGCCAATACCTGTCTCCACAACGACTTCTACTCCTTCCATGTCACATGCGTTTAATCGTATTCTTACCATTCTCTTAAGATCACTAAGCAGACGTTCTTCATCGAGTTGAACCTCTGGATGAAATCGCACTGGATAGAAGTCTCTTCCATTAAACACTTTCGGCTTGCCTGTTCTTGGGTCGAGTTCGAAAACTTGTTTCCAATTTTTGATATAAGTTGTAACATCATCGGCATCATGTTCTCGTCCGGCAAAGTCAATACCTGCCACCGAAACGAGTTTGATTCGGTTTGGTCAGTCGTCTTTGAGAGATCGTGGTAATATCTTTGCATCGAATTTCATCAGGATGGGACAATCAGAAATACGAATCACAAACTTCATAAGAAAAGCTTCACTACCATTTTGACTCTTTCCCTGAAGAGCATGATGAAGAAATTCTTTTTTTATTCCTGAAACATTTCCATCAGCATACACAAAATAAGAATTTTGCCATTTTAGAATTTCGGCTACAGTCATGACGAATGGACTGTGATACTGAAAATGAGGAAAATAAATTACTTTTTCGGGATCTAATTGTGAAATAGGTGTCGCTAGCTGAAATTTTCGTACACCAGAGACGATATATTGGCCATCAATATTATGAAAACCAAAATTTTGCTTAAGAAAACTTTCCATCTGATCCGTTTCGCGAATGCATTTGCCACTCATGAGACCTTGCTTGTTCATAATTGGAAGGGTCTGTGATAGGTATTCCAAAAGACGGCGTACATCTTTTTTTGTGTTCTGGTCAACGCCAAACATTTCACTCGGATATGCTCCTTGCGATGATCTTTTTGGAGTTGGCCCTTGGTACGCATCGGGTGAATAATGAGCACCTTCTGGAACCCTAATTTGTGCCTCTCGTCCATATCGACCAATATTATCTACATTTTGTGGCACATTGAGAGGTGGAACAGCTCTGGATTTTTGTTTGGAACCGCCTTCTCCACCATGTGGCGAATCGAACGAATTATTTTCATCGAAAGTAGACGCCGGTTGTGACTTCCTAGGAGATCGGAGGTTACCTGAAAAGTTGTTCCTAGGATCCTCTGCGTTACTTGATCGCTTAATTTCGCCTGATTTCGGATATACGAAATTCGATTCATGGAAGCTCTTCGGTGTGGACTTCGGCTGAGGCTTATACCTTGGATCACTGCTAGAACCTAAAAGAAATTTTCGAAATTGTTCTTCTTATTCTAATTGCTTTGATATTCAACAACTAATAGGCTGTTTCACAGAAAATAAATGAATTGGATGGAAGGAAAAACAATTATGGAGAAATCACTCTTTTTATTAAATCTATAGTAATTCTAGCTCTTTATTTGATGACGATATTGAGCAAAAAAGTTAGGATAGAACTCATATAAAAATCGATTGTTAACTATTTTCAAACGCTTTTAATCAAGATTGATCGAAAACGATGATAACTTCTATGGACTAATATAACTAATATCCGTTACAATTAATTTTAGTCAATTAAGACTAAAACTGAACGTGATAACGAGTGAGATATATTATTTATTTTTTATTCTTTCATTCTTGATGCAAATCGTGTAATTAAACTAATTAGAAATTGACTATAACTCTATTACTTTAATCTTATTATAATCCTAATTCTTTTATGTCCATGAATAACATTCAACAAAGTATAGAAATAATGATTAGATAGAAGAATCTTATCTTTTAGACTT